CGGTAACTTTTGGGCTCTGAAGAGGTCGTTGGTGGAATTGGCGCGGTCTTCAACTCTCAGCAGCCCAGTATCAAAAGTATATTTTGTTTATTAACTGCGCCACAAAGATGGAAATGCGCTACTCTACACAATACCGCTGGGAGGCACAGTTGTAAGGATGGCGTTGCAACAATCTCTACGTCTTCCCCAATCTTGGACTCAATTCCTGAGCAATCATAATCTTGTACGGGTGTAACTTAAGGTTTCTATGCAGAATTAGCCTCACCGTTCGATTCGATATCCCAAGAGCAGAGGCATGTTTCCGAGCAGAACGCGATGGAGACTGTTCGATAGACGCTCTGACTGCGGCAATTTTTCTAGATGTTCTCACGTACTTGAAACACGGAGTTGGTTTTTTAGACATTGTAGATCCCGTTGCCTTTAAATTTTGAACCCATTTCAATATTGTTTTCCGATCAGGAACATTGTCGTTTCGGTTTAAACCGAAACGCGTGCGAAAAGCCCTCTGCGTCGCAATCACACAATCGCCGTTTTTAAAAAAAAGTCTTGACAACAAGCCCCGATGTTCACTCTACCAAGGTATGGTGGCTACTGAAAACATTGGTCATTCCTACCTAACGGGAACTGCCACGATCCTCTACCTGCTCAAGGGACTCTTCAATGATTTTTTGAAATGTGGGACTCCTGCCGCACCATGTAGTTATTCATTATAGTCTGTCACAGTTAGAAATTCAGAGTTAGTCAACACTTAGTCACTTTGTACGACATTCTTGCCCAAGCAAGAATTGCATTGAAGCCACCAAGGTCGATAATCAATAAAATCAAATCAAGAAATTAGTTTCATTTTCATTCCCACATCAGCGGGTGATCCTTCGAGCAAATACGCAAAGGCGCAAGAATGATAGCAGTCGTGATTGACGTTAACAATGAGAAATCAGGAAATTTGTTCATTTCATGCTTTTTATTCTATCTAATAAGTTATTTAATGTTATTTATTTGATTGTTTTTATTTAATTTTTTCTTATAATAAAAGATAAAGAAAATATTTATGCACTGCTCGCATACCGGCTTCAAGAACAGCCTCTTCGCCATAACATTTGTCAAACTATAACCTCCATGAATCCAATACCAATCAGGATTGGCGGATATACTATTCTTGAATCTAATCTCGGTCCATATAGGGAGCATTCATACGAATATTGATGAACTAGCTGGACATCCAATGCTTTTGTCCTAGGTTTTGAGGATCAGCCTGACCTTGTTATCATTTTCGTGTCACATCCTGTCATATCGACTTAGGCAAGTATTGGCACTGCAGCGCTATTGGTAATGGAAGTTGAAATCAAAAGATATGGACAGTGTTGCCGTTTTCTTATTGAAAATTATTTCTTGAATTGAGTTCGGTGACATTTTATTACGAGCAATATGCATATGTATATACATATAATAATCATAATAAATAAATGCGAATTTAGTAACA